GCCTCGGGAAGTGGAAATTTCTCAGGGAAGAGATCATGGTGAAGATTCCAGCTCTCAGAATTCTAATGTAGTGGATCCTTATGGTCTAGAAATAAATAAGGGAGAAGAAGAGAAAAATGTTACCCCACTGGCTGCAGAAATGTTGGATGAAGCAGAAGTTCTATGCAACTTAAAGACTGAAGAATCAAATTCTATAGAATGCACTAAGGATGATGCCTGCAGTTTCAAACGCTTTGATATTGCCAAAGATCCTTTGGATCATCATTTCCTTTGTGCAGCTGGGCAGGTGTTTTTTCTATTTCATTTTCAACCCCAATATTGCTTTGTATTCTTGAAGGATTCCTCTTTCTGTAGCACGGAGCTACTATAGATTAGGCATAATAGGCTATAGACAAGGATACATTTTTTTTTTTCCTAAGAAAAGAAAATAAGGCGGTTAGGATATATTTGTCTATTTGATTTTCCTGTTTCTTTTCCTGCTATATATTTGATTTGACATATGAGGACTAATGAACTGGAAATTGTATCCACAACTAAAACCTGTCATTTTATTCTGGCCTTGTTAATTGGTTTAGTCACTTTTCTTACATAATGACCATACGTGGTTGTTGAATTAAACAAGGACTGTCCTTATACTTCTAACCTGTTTTCACATTAAATGATACTTACAGAATACCAGTGGAAGAAAGTGGTTGAAGAAGGTTCAGCAAGATTGGAACATCCTTCAAAATAACCTTCCTGGTAAGGGTTCAGTTTCTTATTTTGACGATCACTATCTGTCCCATATTAGAAACACTTGATTTTAACAGTAAATTTTAAGCAGATGGGATTTGTGTACGAGTGTATGAAGACCGAATGGATCTCTTGAGGGCAGTTATAGTTGGGGCTTATGGGACACCTTACCAAGATGGCCTCTTCTTTTTTGATTTTCACCTCCCTCCGGAGTACCCTGATGTTCCTCCGGTTAGAACTACTTTTTATTATTTATTAATCTTTGGTTCAGCTATCATTTCTTTTTTCTTTCTTTTTTTTTCACAACATTTTTTGATGCAAAGAAAGGCATTTATTCCTTGTTCTCTGAACGGATTTGTGTGTTACAGACAGCATACTATCATTCTGGTGGCTGGCGGATAAATCCAAATCTATATGAAGAAGGCAAAGTGTGTCTTAGTCTTTTGAATACTTGGACTGGCAGAGGGAATGAAGTATGGGATCCAAAGTCTTCTAGCATCCTTCAAGTTCTTGTTTCACTCCAGGGGTTGGTGCTAAATTCTAAGCCATATTTTAATGAAGCTGGCTATGATAAGCAGGTCGGGACGGCTGAAGGAGAGAAAAATTCATTGTCCTACAATGAGAATACTTTCTTACTGAACTGCAAGACAATGATGTATCTTATGCGGAGGCCACCAAAGGTGATGTTTCCCTTTATTTTTTTCGTTTAATTTTGTCTGGTGATAGGGGTCCTATATTAGTTGGATATTACTCAATCTGTTGATGTATTCTTTTTCATTCGAGTTGGGTGCATTACAAGGCATCATGAAAAATATTAATTTTACTCGATGTTTTGTTTATATTTGCTAAATACTTGGCGAACGCTCTTTATGTTTTATGTTGTGTGGTAATTTTACAGAGTCATATTTGTTGCTTTTATCTTTGACTCAATAATGTTTATTAATAGTATTGTTGGCATGTCTAGGACTTTGAAGAGCTAATCAATGACCATTTCCGGAGGCGTGGTTATTATATCTTGAAGGCCTGTGATGCATATATGAAAGGCTATTTGATTGGCTCTCTCACAAAAGATGCCTCTCTTAGTGATAAGAGCGATGTAAATTCAACTTCGGTTGGTTTCAAGTTGATGTTAGCTAAGATTGTGCCAAAGCTTTTCTCGGCGCTGAGTGCGGTTGGAGCTAATTGTCAAGAATTTATGCATCTGCAACAATCGTAACACAGGCATGGAGATTCTATTTGCCAAGATCTCGGATCCATCAAGCCAAAAAGGTCAATCCGTTTTGATCAGTTGTTATTTTCTGAAGATTTCGGATACTTTGTCAATGTAAAGGGCTTTCACGTTCTATTTGAATTTTTTTTAAACTCAATGGAAACTGAAAGCCTGTCCCATTTAAGGTTAGAATTCAGCTATCCCCGGGCGTATATACCTGGTCAAGGCAGACTGTCTCCCGTTTTAGGCATGGCGGTGTTTGTCGGGGCAAAGTTGCCGGCACTCCCTCTATTTTCATAAACGATGTTGCCATAACTGGTGGTAGCTTTTGGCCCTTGTTCAGAATTTTTATGGATTGAATTCATATTATATCAGATTAACCATGTGAATTGGCTTCTCACCATTCATTTCAACCCTTGCCTCATTTGTTCTGGACTTCAGCTTTATGTTCTTATTCAACATTGTAAATTAATCAAGATTTGATTCGAAATCGAAGATTTTCGAACAATTTTTTCACTTTCAAGAATGCTGATGCCTGATATCAGTTGGATTGAGCCATCTATATTCCAAGAACAACTTGGGTAGAGTTGCAACCACATCATCCGGAGGGCACCTTTCACAAAAGCAAGCGACCCTTTCCGTTTGGTCTCTTAATGGGAATGTTGTTCTGGGCCAGTGTGAGAGTTGGTCTTGGGTTAGTGTGAAAGTTGCTCTAAGCAGGCATGAGATGCAGTAGTGCTTGAGCGGCTAGATTGAGATTGTTAAATTCCAACCGTGCAACGGTCATCCAAAGCACCAGTATATTCCATACACCAATGCATTGTAGACTTTTCGTCTCATTGCTGTGTAATTGTACTATAAATTTAAATTAGATTGTTATTTGGGTGAAAGACTAATGGATGTTATGTTGGTTTGATTTCTATAAAAACTCCTCTAAATCCCATCATTGTCGAATAAACATTGTTGAGCAAAAATTGTACATAATATGTAAACAAATAATTCACTCGACACAATTTCACCCTCATTCAGTTTTCCGAAGAGGGTTTTATTAATTCGAGTTCGACCCATTCTAGGCTACGCGCCTATTAATTACAACCTTTCTTTTGGAAAGGCATACCCTTTGATTCTAATTTGAATAAATCATAACTTGAGGATTTGTGTGTTTGTTTGATTTTGTGACTGCACCTAGGTCGAATCCTAGATTGCCTACGTACCCTCTTGAGGGATCAAGTCACTCGTAGTTCAGGTATTTGGTACTTGTTGGGATTTGATGCCTTGTGCAGTTTTAGCTCATGCGGGCGAGGAGCACAATGTGGCTTCGTGTTATTTAAATCTTGTTACGGCTTTGTGCCCTTTTGATACTTGATACGGCTTCATGCCATTGAAATTTGTTGTGGCTTCATGCCCTTTTGATACTTGATACGGCTTCGTGCCTTTGAGATTGATTGCGGCTTCGTGCCCTTTGAAACTTTTCTTCGGCTTCATGCCATTTTGGTATTTGGTAGCAGGAGTGAATTTAGTTTATATAAACCAGGGATTCGTTTCAGCTTTACGGTTGTGTCTAAAACTTGATATCAGACTGCCTACGTATCCTTAACGGAATCAAACCGGCGTAGTTCATAAGAACTTGATTGACTTTTGAAGCGACTTTATGCCTTCGAGTTTTGACGAGGCTTTGTACCACTTTGAGATTTGATACGGCTTCGGGCCAGTTAACATAGCTTCATGCCACTTGAGATTTTGTTGCGGTTTCATGTCATTTGATATTTGATTTTTCCTTTGACTTTGTGCCATTTAAAGTGGTTTTTGTGCCACTTAAGCGTAGAGAAAAATTAACGGGTTTATTTTTGATAAACCCACTAATATTTTGTTTTTTTTTTCTCTCTGGCTTGGTACCATTTCTTACTCTATATTTCCTTTTTCGTTTGCCCTTTCTTTCTCTAATAGGTTTCTTATGAATTCAATCCTATTTGAAATAGGATTTTGAAAGCATGAAAGCTGGATCCTTTTTTTATTGTGACAAAGACTTGTTTTGATTTGTCTTTCCTTTGTCTTGGGAATCCTATTAGTTTGTCTCCATGCTTTTCATAAAGCCCATAATTTAGATGGGAACCATGACTTTCCTTTGTACTCCACGTGAGTGGCTTTCCTGTTATCAAAGAAAGAAGACCACATCATATCCATCCTTTTATTTTCTTTTATTGGAACTTGATGACGCCTTGTCCTCTTGTTGCAGTTCCTATTCTTCTATTTATCATGGGGCTTTGAACCATTTAACCCAAATGTCCTTCCAATCTGACAACAAGTTGTATTATTTATTTTCTTTATGTAACTTAAGGCTTCTAAGTCCAAATAGGACTCGGTTTCAACAAACTCTCTTCCTCTCCATGTGAGAAAACTCCCACGTGAGGTGCAAATTTCATTAGTATTCACGCCTCCTCGCAAGATGTCTTTGGCGATTCCTCATTCTCTTAGCTCTAAAACCTGGTGGTTTTCCTCCAGATGCAGGAAACTATTCCGATATATTTGGGATCCCGTGGATTTCGCTATATTTCAGACTTCTATTTGGATTGAGTATCCGTGGATTTCAGAGTGAGAATGGGTAAGGTTTGTTGGAGTTTAAATTTTTTTGTTCCAATTACTTCGTTTTTTCCATTATTTTTCTCTTTAAACAGCAAAGTCCCACTTTACGCAGGACACAAGAGTTCTCATCTTCCTGCTGCCCTATTCTTTTGCTTGTGTGCTTCCTCTGCAGATCGAAAACTCAAAACAAAGAGGGGGAAGAAATCGAGCAGGTTACCCATTTTTTGTCTTTATGTTCTGGGTTCGTTTACGTATTTGGAGTGAAATGAAAATGTAGCTGCAATGAGAATTTTATTAATTCTTTCGTGCAGGCATCGCAGACTTGGTTGTTGGACTCTGCATTGAAAACAATTGTTGACCCATGGCTCCAAAGGTGAGATTCTGCATTCAGAATTTTCTTTCTCTCTTCTTTTGTCTTGTAGCAGTTGTAAGTTTTATATCAATGCTTGGTCAATATTTTTTTTGACCCAATGTTTGATCAAACTGATAGTCACCCTTAGGTCCTTCGGTCCTTTAGCTATATATTTAGAAGCTGGCAAATCTTCTTTCTCTTCTTTTGTCTTGTAACAGCTGTAAATCTTGTTTTAATGCCTTTGGTCAAAGTTTTTGACACTGAAAATCTGTTCCATCTTCACGTGGCAAAGAAGGCTTTGAACCTTCTTTTGATTTTTACAGGAACTTTTCTTCCTTTAATCACTCATTTTTGTCAACATATGCACCTTTTCCTTGTTCCCTTGTCTCTTTTATCCAATATGATAGCTATGTGTATGGCTTTTTAAAGAAACAAACTTTTCTTCCTCATCTTCTTCACGTGAATGATTTTTGAGATGTCTCTCCCCTTGGATTTTGAATTCTTCATTTTCTTTGGACTCTTATCCAAATAGTTTTTTTTTTAACAAAAGGCATCCTCCATGTTTTGTACCCGTGGGTAGCAAGAACATAAAACAGAATAATTTCTTCTCTCTTTCTTGTGTTGCATCTTTGTATATGTTATTTCCTTGCTGTCCTATTTCTCGGGACTTAAACTTAGAGCTTTGAAATTGCACTTGACAATCTGGCGAAGGAGTAGACTGTTTTAAATTTTGGTTTAAAATTTCACGGGGTGGTCTAGGCCACCCCGAAGAAATTCATGGGATTCTTGGAGATTATCTCTGCTGCAGCTGGGGAGGAAGTCGGTGGATTGTTCAGAGTCTCCACCTCCATTTGATTGGTGAAGTATGCCAAACAAAGAGACAATGGCCTTATATGCCTTTGCTTGTTTCCCTTTCCTCATTTTTTGTTTCTCTACTGCTTTTCAGTTTTGTGTTTGCTGCTACAATGCTTTTTTATTTGCTGTGGTCTCTGCTCTCATTTTGTTCTTTCTGCAACATAACAAGAGAAAATAATAATTTAAATAGAACTTGTTTCATACCTGGTGATGAATGTTCTTCTTTAAATCTCGACTTGAAAGCACGAAATGGTTGAATAGCTTGCTCTCTTTCCTGGCAGCACCTTGTTGCTTTTGGTATTTTCTCTAAAAGTTGCTCTTATTTTCGGCAGAGTTTCCCCTCTTTTTTCTGTCTCTCCCTACTTGCTGCAGGTGATGCCTATTTATAGGCATCCTAGGAAAGCTCTAGGATTTGTTACGTGGGGGAATTTGGAGGCCATGAACTCCTGCCACTTTTACTTAACCTCTCCCACGACTTGTGCAGTTTTTTTTTCACGTTTTGCAGAGAGATAAGAGGTTTCTGTGTTGCACGTTTTTCTTCCCCCTTTTGTAGGAAGAAATTCATTATTATTTTTTTTATTTGTTTATTTCTGGATCTTGCTTTGTATGTAAGGCCCATTCTTAAATTTTTGGGCTGGTTTACATCTTTGTTTTGCCTTGTAGTCTGACCCAATTTGTATGGACTATTTTTTTTAATGTTGTATATTTTTGTTGTTCAACAGATTGCCCCCTCAAGCTTTATACGTGAAATTGTTTTGAGCGTATAAGGCTTGATATGTCCATGTCGAATACTGAGCTTCTGACCAACCTGCATTTTATATTTCAGGGAATAAATGCAGATGGTCAAATTTGTACCCAGCGAGCTGTTGATAAGGTCGGGAAAGAGTTTGCCGCGGGTCTAGGGTATAAGCGTTCTTCTCCATTGGCTTCACTTAACTACAACTTTTCTTTCAGTGATCCCCCTACCTGGTTTCTTCCTTCCAAAGTGAACTCTGGTCATCTTGATTTTATTCCGGAAGATGGTACTATCAAGGTTGGTCGGCATCAGGGCGATTTATTTCAGGCTTATACTCTGATGAAAGTGAATAATGAGGCTGATGGAGACACCAAGTTTAAAGTTGATCCAAATTTTTTTCCGCTTTTACACAGAATGATCCGAGAAAAGACAGATTGGGGTTTGAGTGTGAAGGTCACAGGTTGTGCTACTTTTCAAGTTGGTGTGCTGGAGTGGACAGAGACTATTTTACGAACTTATGCAAGTGTGCTGCGTCAAGCAAATATTTATGGTGCTGTGGCAGTGTCCCGTTATCCTTACAAATACTCCTCTAATGTATGGAAAGCTTTCTGTGAGCTATGGGGGCCTTTAACCAACACCTTCCACCAGGGAAATGGGGAAATGAGCATTTCATTATATGACTTAAAGGTGATAGGTGGTTTACCAATTCTCGGTGCTCCTTATGAAGAGTTTGTTCCTCCAAATGATGACCTGTACAAGAAAGAGGCTTACCCGTCTACTCTTCCTGAACTTTTGAGAATTCATTCCCAATTGTGCAAATTTTATGGGCAGAAACATATATTTTGGAATCAATGGTTGGACCATTTTTATCGAGGAAAAATAGTTTATGCGGGCTATGGTGAGAAAAATCAGCGGATGTCCCCGAATGAGCAAAAGATTTTTAAAGCCCGAGGAATCTTGTTGGAAGTCACAAAAGAAGGGGCCTTGGCTGCATTTTTGGTATTCTGGCTTTGTAGATTTGTTTTGCCATTAAAGGGCGGTAAAGTGAGACCCGAGACTTTTCCCATGGCTTGTTTAATGGCGCAGGGTTCTAAAGTCTCTCTTGCGCCAACTGTTCTTGGCTATATTTATCGCGGCCTTGGGGATATCGTTTCTTGTCCGAGGGGACCTGGCTTCACATATATTTCCATGCCGGTTCACTATATTGTCGGTTGGCTAGGGGAGCATTTTCCATTTTATACCGATCTCGTCCTGATAGTGATTTTCCTAAGGGTTATCCTCAATTAGCGAGATATGCGGGTATTGAACCCAGGGAGGTCAATATATCTCATGCGAGGTTTATCTTTCGGAGCGACAAATCTGTTATTTATCGCCCAACTGTTTTTGTGGAAGAGAAAGGTTGCTCTTTGATGGATAGTGAAGACCTATCTGATGATTATTTTGAATTTTTGGTCTGTGTTCGCACTGCAAAGCTTCCTGTCAGAATTGGTGAACACCTTTGGCTAGAACCATATTTTCCTAACAGATTTGCTCGTCAATTTGGCTTTGATCAAGGAGTTCCAATGAACAATTTAGCATTTGGTGTTTCTAGTAGACAAAATTGCAGTGTTGAAGCTATGTTCGAAGCGCAGACGGTGCTTCTTAAAAGGAACACCGGATCTCTTTTTTATGTTCCATGTTCAACACATCAAGGGATCTGTACCTATTGGTATTGTAAGTGGTGGAGGACTTCTTGTGTAACATATCTTGGGATTTCTTTGGCTGATATTTATGCTATCTTCAATAAGCGTCCTCTTAATAAAAAGACAGTTTTTAGTGTGTCAGTTCTGAGAGACATAACTCCAGGTTTGAGAAAAGAGTTTTTGCTTTCCGAGGTGGGATTTGATAAGTCTCCTGGCTTGCAAGCAGTTGGTCAGAGTTCTAGCCTTTCTAAAAATAAGAATACAATGGCTGACCAGGAATGCAAGGTTATCTCGGAGTCTTCTTCACCAGGATCTTCTTTAGGGAGTAGCCATGATGTGAATTTTAAGCGTGCTCGTTATGAGAATTCTGATGGTCCTGGTGGTGTGGATATTGAAACTGTGACTGCTGCAGATAATTTTACTCCAGAAATTATCCCTGGAAACTTAAGTACACCATCTGTGAAGGTAACGAACCAGCCTTGTAGGGGAAAGTCAGCTGCCTATCTGTCAAATGAAGTTGCACCATCATCCTTGCAAGAAGTGACGGCATCCATCCATGCTTTGTTTGGCTCGGAGGTGAGCAATTTTAGGCAAGGATATATTATTAGTGAAGTAGAGAATATTTTTGTCAAGCTTTCCTCTTGCAACTCACCTACAGAAATTCTTGGCTGCCATGAGGAAGTGAATTTGGTGCTTGATGTTTTGGTTCCCATCATTAACATTTTGGAATCTGGTCGAACAGAGCTCGAGTGGTTTGTCAAAACCGTTCGCCATATTTTTGCATGTGCTTCACAAATTTCTGATAATGCCAAGATTATTGATCAAGGTAATCATATTCGCGATTTGCTTCATTGTCATGATGAGTGTTTGTCAACTAAGAAGGCCTTCGAGTCCGAGTTAAACAAATCCATTCAGGAGCTTAAGAAAATTGAAGCTGAGGAACTGCCTGTTAAAGAAGCAGAGGAGATCGCTCGTGTTCTTCGCCAGCAATATGATTCTGGAAAACATGCTGTCAAACGTCGAGTGAGTGATCTTAAAGCTTCTATTGAGCGACAAAAGAAATTGGATGTGGAGCTTCGTCAGTCTCGAGCTGATACAAATGAAGGGCTCCTTCCGGATGTTGAGCGTGCTGAAGTTTTGAACAAATCTGCAGAAGAAAGAATCTTGAACTCGATTGCCTCCCTGCTCCACTTTTGCAGTAAACCGGAGTAGGGATCCATGTGTTTTTCTTTCTATTTTGCACTCCTGCTATTTGGGATATTTATGTTGGCCTTTCCTTTTTTTTTCGCAGACTCTTTTGAGCAAACTTGGTTGATAATAATGGGTTCATTGAACCAGAATATTTGAGATTTATCTGAATTTTTTTTATGTTATTCAAACCATATTCCTTTACCCATTTCCCTTGCTAAGTTTACGTGCCGTGTTCAACTTCAACATGTCGTACCTTTACCTATATATATATATATATATATATATATATAATATACATAGATATGCTTTATTTGGTAGATTTTGCGATGAAGGTGTCCTTTTTTATTTCCGCAGCATATTTCTACGAACGGTTGCACCATTTTCAACCGTGGCTGCTGTTTTTGACATTTTAGTCATGTATAGCTGCTGTCAGTATTTATGAGCAAGTGTAGTTTGATATTGAAAAGACTCCACACTGCATATTTCCTTGTAGATAGCTGCACCCTTAAACATGGCGATTGCTTTCTAATTTTTTTGTTCATACGGCATGGTTCCTCGTAGATAGTTGTACCATTTTTTAAATATGGCTGCTACTTTTGACATTGCTTTAGCTTCTTTCATCACTGTACGTAAGTGAACATCACCTATGTTTTGTCATTCTCAATTTAAAACTCTCGTATGCGAAGAGTTCAAAAAACTAGCATATGACAATTCAAACAAATGCTAATTCCATTGGAGAGAAAAAAATATAATTTTTATGAGTTATGGCTGCATCTAATTTTAGGGATCAGATTGCCTACGTACCCTGTGAAAGGATCAAGCCAAACGTAGTTCATCCCTTGATTTCGGGAAAGTGGTTTTTACGGCTGTATCTAGTAATAAAGCTAGACTACCTACGTACCCCATGAAAGGATCAAGCCGAACGTAGTTCACCCCTTGATTTCGGGAAAATGATTTTTACAGCTGTATCTAGTAATAAAGCTAGACTACCTACGTACCCTATGAAGGGATCAAGCCGAACGTAGTTCACCCCTTGATTTTCGGGATTTGATTTTTATTTTTATTTTTTATGACTGCACCCATTTTTAATGATAGGCTGCCTACGTACCCTTTTTGAGGGATCAAGTCATACGTAGTTCAGAAGAAAGGATTTATCTTGACTTGTTTCCTCTGCACTTGTTTCCCTCTCGGAGTTTGTGAGGCATTAGCTTGCCCCCTATCCTTTATTTGGGGATTATTGCTTGAGCTCAGTTGATTCGTCACCATTCTCTTTTTTTTTCTTCTTAATGGTAACGCAGTTTACTTAAGTTGAGTCACAAACTTCTTCCATGCTTACTTTCTCAATTGTTCCATAAGTTTCATTTTTTGGAAGTGGAGGTGCACTATTGAAAGTCCTGAAGTCGATGCAAGTACAAACCTGTCCATTTTTCTTCTTGATTAGAAAGTAGGTTGGGAATTGTCTGACAGACTTAATAGGCTCGTTATCAGATTCCTTGCTTTTTTCTTTGCTACCAATCGTGTTGACTTGAACAATGTCTTGTACCTCTTCTTGCGCATCGTCATTTTTGTCACAATTTATTGTCACCTTTTGGGTTTTGACTCTCCACTTTTTGCTTTTATGAGACTTCTTAGGTTGAGAGTTGATGATTTTACCAAGTCGTAAGAAGACAGAAATTCGAGGTGGCTTGCTGCTAGATTTTTCTTCAGTGAACATTGCTTTCTCGAGATCAGTAAAGCCTTCAAACTCATGATTCTTGGTATTTGAGACAAATGCTTTAAGCATATCATTTTCTTGGTGTACTGTGACGTTGATGGCACTCTTTTTAGCTTTGCACCTCTTCGCTTTTATCTTTAATGGAACCTTTGATGAAGACTCATTTCTTTTGAACGAAACAATGCGACCCTGTCGACCATTATTCCTTTGCAAATTTGTTGAGACTACCAAATTGCCCCCAGGAATCGATTGGTTGATTTTGCGTAGAGGCTTTGTGTAGTTGGTCATGAGTGCTTCAAATGCATTTTGGATTTGTTCCATTGCCTTCTTTTCAGGTTCTCTTCGATCTTGTAATGAACAATTGAGACCTACTTTTCGAGATTTCGGAGTTTTAGAACTCGCGATTTTGACTAGCCTTGATGGCTTTACCCTCTCCATAACTAGTGATCGTGATTCCTTCTGCACCACCTCATTTTTTGTTGGTTGCGAAAAAGTGACTTTTGATTGTTTGTAGAATTTTGCATCTGCGTAATTCACTTCTTCACCCCTAAATGGGTTGGTATCCGCTAGGACTTTTTTGACTTCGCCATTCACCAAAAACTTGAAGCATTGATGGAGTGTAGAAGGAACGACACCATATGTATGAAGCCACGGACGTCCCAATAAAACATTATAAGATGTGTCAGCATCGATTACATGGAAAAGGGCGTCGGAGTACAACTCCCCTATCTCCATTTGTAATGCTATCGATCCCATTGCTTTTTGTCCGACTTGATTGAAGCCTTGAATAGTTAACATTGATGGTGTCAGTTGACGAACATTCATCCCCAGAACTCGAAGTGTTCGAAGAGGAAGTAGGTTTACTGCTGATCCACAATCAAGCAAGATTCGATTTATTGATGTATCTCCCACTAGTCCACTGACGTACAAGGGTCGATTGTGGTATTCGTCTCCAAGTACAAGGTCACTTTCGTCAAATGTGATACTTGCAAGGCAGCAAGCGTAATACTTTGGTGACGTTGTATCCATCTCTGTAAATTTCAAGCTTGTTTCAAATACTTCAGGATTTGTTAAAGCCATGATGAGTGCTTCTCTAAGCTCCTTAGACATTTTTAGAGCATCGTACACACTAAGGAGAGATGGGATGCGCTTAAGATGGTCGACGATGTCGTATTTGCCATCTTGGGACTGTAATACATCTTTTGTATGTCTCTTAGAGGTACTTGCTTTTGTGGTTGAGACTGAAATTTCTACCGCAGGCTCTACAGTGGTAATGACTGGAATTTGTCTTGCACTTGGTTTATCGGAATGTTTGACTGAATCAACTACTTCTTTTCCTTCTTTCTTGTCCGCAGACGGTATCCTTTGGCCAGAGCGTAGAGTTATTTCATCTACCTCATCATCGTTGTGGATTTCACATGAGGTCGTGCGACAATTTCCAATTTCTTCCTCGCCTCCCTTACTCTTAAAAAGTTTTGGAGGGAGGTAGTCTCCAAGGGTTATTGGTGCTCTGAAAGGCTGCTTGTACTCATCATCTTGAAAGACTTTAGGCCTTCTTTGAGTATTCTTCTTCTTTTTCTTTCCATCCTTTGAGGGTGGTCCACTCCATAATTTTCCTTTTGATCGCTTTGTGGAAGAAAGACGTTTAGCAATCTTTTTCACCTTCTTTTCACTGGCGGTTTGCCATTCGTCTTCGGATTCAAGTGATGACGAATCCTCCCAAACATCAAAACTTGGTGCCGTCATGAGCTCATACAGAGTTGGAATTTTTGGATTTCCAGAACGAGGCATACCAGGATAAGCATGGACAACTGTGGTTTCATTATCGACATGGAATCCTACAGGGATTGCCCCTTCTGGTAATGGAGCGGAGGGTGTTGATTTTCCTTCGATCATATTGGACGTTGCCGTCTGATGTTTTGAGGATGAATCCACCTCGATCTCATGCTTGTTGATTTTTTCTTGAATTATATCCTTAAGGATATAACAATCTTCTATCGTATGGCTGATGAGTCGATGATATCGACAATACTTTGGATCATCGGTCTTATTTACTTCAGCAGGACGCTTTGGTTCAGGAAGCGTGATCATCTTTGCTGCAAGGAGTTCGTCGAAGATAGTTCCAACATCTTCATCATCGAAACTATATTTAACTTCTTTTCTTTCCTTAAGCGAAAGCCTCCTCGTCCCTTTGGTTTCTTCTTTTCTTTTTATATTGTCACTTTTCTTGTCTACTTTGACAAATGTCGCCATAGAATCTCCCTTCTTCGACATTCTTTTGTTATCTCCATTCTTGGTGTCTGACTTATTTTCTAAGTCTTGGATCATTTTTCCAATCACATTTTTCCGGGACATTTGCTTTTCCACATTACTTGCTTTAGATACCAACTCGTCGAAAGTTCGAGGCTCTGCAATTCCTACAAATGTTGCAATCTCAGGGATGAGGTTATTGTAACATATTTGCACTGCCGAAAATTCAGAAATCTTTTCCATGCATTGTAGGTTAAGGCTTCTCCATCTTGTGATGAATTCGCTCGCGCTTTCTCCGAGCCTTTGTGTTGTTTGAGCTAAATCCATTAACGTGACCTTTTTCTTTGAACTGACGAATTGAGCTAGAAAAGCTCTTTGCATATCATCCCATGTTATAATAGATCCGGGCTCTAACTGAGTGTACCATGTGAAAGCAGACCCTCTTAGTGACTGAACAAATTGCCGAACCAATAAGGGATCCGACTGCGATGTCTCCCCACAAGCTGAGTAAAAATGAGCTAAGTGTTCTTGAGGAGAACCACTTAAACCATCAAACTTATCAAAGCTCGGTTTTTGATACCCTTGGGGAAATGGCACTGTGTCATAGTGAGCTGGATAAGGCTTCCGGTATCCAAGAATTGGTGTTGTTAAAGACATTTGAAATTCACGAATCTTTTCAGCGAAAATTGCATTGATATCTTGATGCGTAATTTGGCTACCGGAACTTTCTCCTTCTGTTTCTTTCTTTGCTCTTTCTCCAGCATTATTTATGCTAGCTTGAGCGGCTAACTGAGCTGCTAAAGTTGCAATTTCAGCTTCCTTATCAGCTACCAAAGTTGCCATTTGTGCTTCTTTTTCCGCTAGTTTTCGTTGTATTTCTAGCAGTTGTTCTTCTATATTTGATGCACCAGTCATCATAACTTGCATGTTCTCAGATTCAACGTCTTCATTTATCTCCAACTTTTGGAATTGAGTCATTACTCTAGGAATCTCTTCTTGGAAAAAATATTTGTTTCCTCCAAGAATATCTCCAAGGGAAGATGAACTCTCAGGAGAATGGTTTGCCAATACTCGGGCCCTTGCACGTGTGATAGGCCCCTCGAATTGAATGTTGTTACCTTCCTCGACAACTTCATAGGCCTTGGCCTTTTGTTGAACATTTCCAGACACTACTGGCAAGATTTCTTCATTTTCCTCGACGGAGGTCATCATGACCAACTCCGTTGTAGGTAAAGTGATTGGGATTGTTCCAATCATGATTTGAGTAATGACGGGAACCTTAGTAAGTGGTGATGATGTCACTTTGACAATCTTGCGTCGAGGGACCTTGGTGTCTTTAGATGAAATAGCTCCAAGAAGCTCTCTTGAGATGATTTCAATATTTTCAAGTACACACTCCTTAGCGATCTTCTTCCTAAGAGCTCGTGCTGCTCTCTTCCTTGTGTTCCTTAGGGCGTTCTTGGACGGGCATTTTTTCGGTCCAACCTTGATGACTTTTACAGCCGCCTTGTTTGTCTTTGTTGCTACCTTAGCCTTCACCATGTTGCAGCTAGTTGGTGCTTCATTGATGGTGAAGGAGATTCGGCGACCAGCACGTCCTCCATGTCCAAGTTTGGATGCAGCAGCAGAGAGTTCGTGGAAGTAAATAGTAACTTGTGGTGCCATGCTTCCTTTTTTCTCTGCAAAAAAGAAAACACATAGCACATTAATTATCTTCAAAATTAGAGATGAAAGGGAAAATGGGTCCCACTGGGCGTGCCAAAAATTATGTTGAGCAAAAATTGTACATAATATGTAAACAAATAATTCACTCGACACAATTTCACCCTCATTCAGTTTTCCGAAGAGGGTTTTATTAATTCGAGTTCGACCCATTCTAGGCTACGCGCCTATTAATTACAACCTTTCTTTTGGAAAGGCATACCCTTTGATTCTAATTTGAATAAATCATAACTTGAGGATTTGTGTGTTTGTTTGATTTTGTGACTGCACCTAGGTCGAATCCTAGATTGCCTACGTACCCTCTTGAGGGATCAAGTCACTCGTAGTTCAGGTATTTGGTACTTGTTGGGATTTGATGCCTTGTGCAGTTTTAGCTCATGCGGGCGAGGAGCACAATGTGGCTTCGTGTTATTTAAATCTTGTTACGGCTTTGTGCCCTTTTGATACTTGATACGGCTTCATGCCATTGAAATTTGTTGTGGCTTCATGCCCTTTTGATACTTGATACGGCTTCGTGCCTTTGAGATTGATTGCGGCTTCGTGCCCTTTGAAACTTTTCTTCGGCTTCATGCCATTTTGGTATTTGGTAGCAGGAGTGAATTTAGTTTATATAAACCAGGGATTCGTTTCAGCTTTACGGTTGTGTCTAAAACTTGATATCAGACTGCCTACGTATCCTTAACGGAATCAAACCGGCGTAGTTCATAAGAACTTGATTGACTTTTGAAGCGACTTTATGCCTTCGAGTTTTGACGAGGCTTTGTACCACTTTGAGATTTGATACGGCTTCGGGCCAGTTAACATAGCTTCATGCCACTTGAGATTTTGTTGCGGTTTCATGTCATTTGATATTTGATTTTTCCTTTGACTTTGTGCCATTTAAAGTGGTTTTTGTGCCACTTAAGCGTAGAGAAAAATTAACGGGTTTATTTTTGATAAACCCACTAATATTTTGTTTTTTTTTCTCTCTGGCTTGGTACCATTTCTTACTCTATATTTCCTTTTCGTTTGCCCTTTCTTTCTCTAATAGGTTTCTTATGAATTCAATCCTATTTGAAATAGGATTTTGAAAGCATGAAAGCTGGATCCTTTTTTTATTGTGACAAAGACTTGTTTTGATTTGTCTTTCCTTTGTCTTGGGAATCCTATTAGTTTGTCTCCATGCTTTTCATAAAGCCCATAATTTAGATGGGAACCATGACTTTCCTTTGTACTCCACGTGAGTGGCTTTCCTGTTATCAAAGAAAGAAGACCACATCATATCCATCCTTTTATTTTCTTTTATTGGAACTTGATGACGCCTTGTCCTCTTGTTGCAGTTCCTATTCTTCTATTTATCATGGGGCTTTGAACCATTTAACCCAAATGTCCTTCCAATCTGACAACAAGTTGTATTATTATTTTCTTTATGTAACTTAAGGCTTCTAAGTCCAAATAGGACTCGGTTTCAACAAACTCTCTTCCTCTCCATGTGAGAAAACTCCCACGTGAGGTGCAAATTTCATTAGTATTCACGCCTCCTCGCAAGATGTCTTTGGCGATTCCTCATTCTCTTAGCTCTAAAACCTGGTGGTTTTCCTCCAGATGCAGGAAACTATTCCGATATATTTGGGATCCCGTGGATTTCGCTATATTTCAGACTTCTATTTGGATTGAGTATCCGTGGATTTCAGAGTGAGAATGGGTAAGGTTTGTTGGAGTTTAAATTTTTTTGTTCCAATTACTTCGTTTTTCCATTATTTTCTCTTTAAACAGCAAAGTCCCACTTTACGCAGGACACAAGAGTTCTCATCTTCCTGCTGCCCTATTCTTTTGCTTGTGTGCTTCCTCTGCAGATCGAAAACTCAAAACAAAGAGGGGGAAGAAATCGAGCAGGTTACCCATTTTTGTTCTTTATGTTCTGGGTTCGTTTACGTATTTGGAGTGAAATGAAAATGTAGCTGCAATGAGAATTTTATTAATTCTTTCGTGCAGGCATCGCAGACTTGGTTGTTGGACTCTGCATTGAAAACAATTGTTGACCCATGGCTCCAAAGGTGAGATTCTGCATTCAGAATTTTCTTTCTCTTCTTTTGTCTTGTAGCAGTTGTAAGTTTTATATCAATGCTTGGTCAATATTTTTTTGACCCAATGTTTGATCAAACTGATAGTCACCCTTAGGTCCTTCGGTCCTTTAGCTATATATTTAGAAGCTGGCAAATCTTCTTTCTCTTCTTTTGTCTTGTAACAGCTGTAAATCTTGTTTTAATGCCTTTGGTCAAAGTTTTTGACACTGAAAATCTGTTCCATCTTCACGTGGCAAAGAAGGCTTTGAACCTTCTTTTGATTTTTACAGGAACTTTTCTTCCTTTAATCACTCATTTTTGTCAACATATGCACCTTTTCCTTGTTCCCTTGTCTCTTTTATCCAATATGATAGCTATGTGTATGGCTTTTTAAAGAAACAAACTTTTCTTCCTCATCTTCTTCACGTGAATGATTTTTGAGATGTCTCTCCCCTTGGATTTTGAATTCTTCATTTTCTTTGGACTCTTATCCAAATAGTTTTTTTTTTTAACAAAAGGCATCCTCCATGTTTTGTACCCGTGGGTAGCAAGAACATAAAACAGAATAATTTCTTCTCTCTTTGTTGCATCTTTGTATATGTTATTTCCTTGCTGTCCTATTTCTCGGGACTTAAACTTAGAGCTTTGAAATTGCACTTGACAATCTGGCGAAGGAGTAGACTGTTTTTAAATTTTGGTTTAAAATTTCACGGGGTGGTCTAGGCCACCCCGAAGAAATTCATGGGATTCTTGGAGATTATCTCTGCTGCAGCTGGGGAGGAAGTCGGTGGATTGTTCAGAGTCTCCACCTCCATTTGATTGGTGAAGTATGCCAAACAAAGAGACAATGGCCTTATATGCCTTTGCTTGTTTCCCTTTCCTCATTTTTTGTTTCTCTACTGCTTTTCAGTTTTGTGTTTGCTGCTACAATGCTTTTTTTATTTGCTGTGGTCTCTGCTCTCATTTTGTTCTTTCTGCAACATAACAAGAGAAAATAATAATTTAAATAGAACTTGTTTCATACCTGGTGATGAATGTTCTTCTTTAAATCTCGACTTGAAAGCACGAAATGGTTGAATAGCTTGCTCTCTTTCCTGGCAGCACCTTGTTGCTTTTGGTATTTTCTCTAAAAGTTGCTCTTATTTTCGGCAGAGTTTCCCCTCTTTTTTCTGTCTCTCCCTACTTGCTGCAGGTGATGCCTATTTATAGGCATCCTAGGAAAGCTCTAGGATTTGTTACGTGGGGGAATTTGGAGGCCATGAACTCCTGCCACTTTTACTTAACCTCTCCCACGACTTGTGCAGTTTTTTTTTCACGTTTTGCAGAGAGATAAGAGGTTTCTGTGTTGCACGTTTTTCTTCCCCCTTTTGTAGGAAGAAATTCATTATTATTTTTTTTATTTGTTTATTTCTGGATCTTGCTTTGTATGTAAGGCCCATTCTTAAATTTTTGGGCTGGTTTACATCTTTGTTTTGCCTTGTAGTCTGACCCAATTTGTATGGACTATTTTTTTTAATGTTGTATATTTTTGTTGTTCAACAAACATCTAACTCGTCATTCAACAATCTGTTAAAAACACCAGGATTATGTCCAAGCGAAATCATAAATTTCTGTAACATAAGTAATTGAGATCCGAATGAACCTACCAATCCTGTTCAAGCTAATCAGCATAACTTACATGATGAGATTTGCACAACACTTACATTATTAATGACAAAAAAGAACGGTATACGATCAAAGATCCAAATCTGAATAGACGAGACAAAAATAACAATAACAATAATAAAAATCTCCTCACTGATTTGCTACGGGTGCGATCACCACTCTTCTGCAATGCTTAAACTCAATCCACTTTCACTACTTTGTGCAAACTTTAGGATTCCATGTGATGATTTTGTCGGTAATTACTATAACTTCCTTGGTTAATATAGTTCCGTTGCTCCCCTGACATGCCACAAGAAAGATATGTGAGTTTCATGCAAAAGTTCCCCAGCAAGCAAGAAGATCCACATTGCTATTCTAGCTGAGGTTAGGCTTAGTAATTCACACTTAAATCTATGGAAGGCTTATCCGAAGGCAATAGCTTGCAGGAACGTTGAATCACTGAAACAAATGAAAATTCACTGTGGAAAATGCAGCTTCTTCACAATTTATACAGTACCATATAATGTGGAAGGTGGAATGTGCCCTAGAGTTAAGTGCCTGAATTATGGATTCTATATAAATTTGAGTTAGAAGTCCAGGAATTTAAAGATGAAGATGAAACAATTGCAACAGATTCGAATTACTTAACAATAAGATGCTACGCCAATTGGACATCTAATGGTTGAACGGTTTAACCGCTCTTGAACACCAAGCAGTTCAATGTTAACAATTACAAGTCACTCATCTCATTTCGATCTACAAGAAGTTAAATTTCAATAAAACCAAAAGTATCATCACTATCGTAATCATTCACAGCTACTTAAAATCTAATACTCCGTCTTAAACTTCAAAAAGCTCATCTAATATTGAATTTTTCTCAGCAACAAACTTGTACACCCAAATCAACAAACTTGTACACCCAAATTATAGTTCAAGGCTTAAACATTTTCAGAACCACGCCACTATTCTATCAAGCTCTCGCCTTTTCAAAATACCGCCCTTTATCCATTCCAATTAAGGCACATCGAAATCAGTTGTTCAACTTCAATTCTCACCCAAATGCTCCCAGTCATACATACCATTGCTAAATAAAAAAATTCAACATTCAATTGCCATTTTTATGTTCACTTTCATCTCAATAAACATCAAGAAAACCAAAATTAAAATTTAAAAAGAAAAGATACATAAAAACCAAAAAGCAAGGATAAACAAGTACCAGGCAAAGATGTTCATAGACCGCCGGTCTTGATGAGCCTTCTCCTGGCCAAAAACCTAGACACGGGAGGAGTAAGCGCCAGAGTAATAGGAACCCGAATCGGAAACAGGGCCTTGTTGCAGAGCAAAGCCAATGCCAGAGCACCACCAGTCGAAGCCGCGAGCTCAGCCGTCCGACTCCTCTCCTTCTCCACAACCACAGCCGTCGATTGCCCATTTTCCGATATGGGTCCGTCCCGAAACTCCGACCCATCGGAGATCACAGGTGGGTTCTCTGGGTTTTCGTCTTTGGAGGACACGCTCCCCATGTGAAGCTTGTCCAGCAACGATTCGACGTCGACGTTGTTCTTGATGGCGACATAGAGGCCTGTGATCGAGGCAGCTGAGACTGAGAAATGGACGCCAAGTGCGACCTTGCCGTACTTCTTCAGGAGCTCTTTGAATCGACCGCCGGTGGCGACGGAGGCCATTGATGGACAAAATAAAGATGGGATTTTCTGGGGGGAAGTAGGTGAAGATTTTCTGAGAAGGAGGCACTAGGGTTTCTGGTAATCTGCGTTACTGGGTTTTCTTAATTTAATTTTGTTGTTTGGGACAAAGAAAGAAGGGATTACTTGGTGATGGGTTAAAGTCTCTTCAGTCAGTTTAATGGTTATTGGAGCTGCCAAGTGGTTGGTTATGGGCCTCACTCTTCCTTAGTTGGGCCCATTGGTAATGTCCACAATCAAAACTTCATGCTTGATCCCTTTTTTTCTTTCGGCCCTTAACTTTTACTTAATAACCCATCTTTATTAAATTTGGTTTTTATTCATGGAGAGAGATGTTCATCTAACCTAAATTACAAAAAGTAAAATTTGAATTTGGGTGTAAAGATGAGACTCATGAGAGTGCATTGTTCCAGTCAATTTAGGTAAGCTTTTAATTTACAAAGCTTTTTTTTTCCTTTCTAATTATTTTTTTGGACTCCCTTCACGTCATTTGAGTACACAATCGCTTGTTACAACTAAACGTACTTTTTAATGCTTAGAGCATGAGGTAGACATAAGCTTAGTCTCAACATCGGTGTCGTAGGGTCTCTGGAAACTGAAAGTTAAAAATTTAGAAACTCATGAAAGTAGTTTTCATTTTTTATTTAGTTTCATTTTAAAAAAATGTGAAAATAAAAACTAAAAATTGAAAACAAAATAGTTATATCACTTGTTGGTTTCAGTTTTAAAAAACTAAAAAACAAAAAGGTTATCAAATAACTCTAACAAAGACTTTTTCACATCAATGGATAGAATGTGAAATTCAGTATTACTGGTGACTCCCACGCTTTTTATGTGTGAAACCCCGATGTCGGAAACACATCATTGTAATGTAATTTTAGACATGGACTAAGCTTGATGAATAATAATATATCAAAGATTAAGCAATTGTTGATAATCATATAGTGATATAGGGTTGATATACAGAGAGCAACGCTTCTGTTAGTTTAAGATATGTAGATTCCGTCCTACGAGATTGTGCAAAAAACTTGTACCTTGTACCAACGTGAAAATTAACCAAAAAACAAAGTATTGAAAAATGCTTTTCCCATACGAAACACTGGTGCTTTATGCTTCATTAGGAAGATGGTGCAAGTGGAAGGGACAAAAATGGTGGTTGCGGAGGTGTTGCTGGTGGTGATGGTCGTCCAAGCCAATTCAATTCTCTGCCGCTTTAGCCGTCTCACCACGCCGTATTGATGGGTTCCTTTTTAGCTCTAGCAACGAGTCCCTCACATCATCAACTTCAACCATCTCGCTATCCTTTTTCTGGCAATCAAAAGAATGAACATCATCAGATTAATGCTTGCTTAAATTATATCGTACATGTTACAAGCCTCTAATTTTTCTCCCAATATATTTTCTCAACTCTCTCACATAGGTAAGGCGAATTTGTACACAAGCATGCCTTATCTTACTTGAGGAAATTCTTGCACAACGGATGCATACAACATCACGCTCACAAAAATAACCCCTCACGTACTGATTATGTGACTAAGTAGTTGAGATGAGGGATTGTGAAATTCGTTGTATACCGAAAAAATTGTGAGCAAGAGTTGGAAAGGAGTAGAGTTTTGTGCTAGAAACGCAACTAACCTCTACAATGAAAACATTGGACACGAGACATCTGAAGCTAGTCACATTTGCATTAGTAACTTCCATCCATCAATCTCACAAATCCACCCGGCTTTTGCTCACAGAATACTTTCACAAAGAACTGGTTTCCATCCAATTGAGCCACTTCCACTTGGGACTACAACATTTTTCATATCTTTGGTTAATACCTAAGAAATAAATTAATCCCGAATGGAAAAGGGTAGTCATTTTCTCACTCCCATTTTCTCTTTTTGCTTTCCTCACATTGTTTTGTCCCTTGGTTCTACATTAATTTATTCAATCCAATGGCTAAAAAACAAGAGAAATGCAGGCGTAGAATAGTAGAGTGCGAAAATCACTTCCCATAAAGAAAAACTTTAAGAAGAAAAGAACCCAAAATATGTACCTCCATCTGTTCTGTCTTGTGATCATGGACAACATATGAATAATCTTGGCTTTGTTTCGAGAAGCTGCAGTCTCCCGGTGTTCCAAAATGAAATCCATTTGAAGCTTTATGATCATCTTGATGATCATCAGTTTTAGGCCTAATGTGCTCAACTCCACTTTGGCTCTGAATCTCTGATTTGACATTGTTGTTAGCACCATCATCCTCTGCATGATCGTCAAGCTTATCCTGAAGCTGTTTAGCTTGCTTCTGCGGCTGTATCACATATTCAATGGCATCCCCAAGAATGGACGCCCTGTCCAACTGTGAATTAAAAGGGAGTTGGCATTAGACAAAAGATAGCATTTTCAGTGAGCCAATTACTTTTATAGTCGAGCTGTAATGGGAGATTCAAACTTGGTGTGGAAGAGAGAAGGATACATTGCCCTAGCCAACTTGACTATGACCAAGTCTGCCTATGAGTCTATTACTTGAGGTTATTGAAGAGTTCTTTCTTTTCATATTGTTTGTAAAGCCTGAATCGATCCAACACATGAGCGAAGCGAGACATGATACAAATCAAATGGGGTTTCAAAAGAAAAGATGCAAGATGATGCAATGAAATAGGGTACTTTGGAAATAATGGGAACCAAAGACCTAAGAGCATAAAGTCTGTCACAAAACTTTTTCCTTCTTTTTCTATCAGCAATAAGGTTTTTGGATCGAGGCCATTTCCTTGTCCTCCTCCTCTGATATTTCACATCCTCCTCCTTGTCAATCTGATCACTGCAATCTAACATCAAATCCTCATCTTGTCATTTTGCCTCATGTGTATTCGAGTCCCGCTCCTCGTTGCCCTCCTACTGATCCATGTTTGGTACTAATGCCACGATATATTGCTGCATATCTATATGTTGTTGTATCTCACTCGTCATAGACGTCTGCATTGCTTCCATCTCTTGAAACCCATTTTCTGCTGAAGAAATATCAATATTATTCTTGGTTAGGTTTCCTAAGTTGCAATTAGTAAATAGCTGAAAAGGTTCATTGGAGAATTGCTTGTTCTCTCCATGGATGCATCATATGGCTGCAGATTCAAATTCTATAAAGTAGTTTGAATGAGAGATGGTCTAAAAATCGCTTTGATTCAATTTCACTCATTGTGCACGTACCAGTTATGTTAGTTAAGGCTGCCTCCTAACATGTGCTTAGTGTAAAACAGAATGGTTAGGCTTATGACAAGTGTCATATTATGATTAGTTGAGGTAGAGTGTTAGTTACAAATGTAAAGGATGGTATAAGCTATAAATACCATAAGGATGTATTTATGACAATGTGAAGAAAGTAATAAGAAAGTGACGTATTTCATATATTTGTTTTGAAGCTTTATCTCTCTACATTTTTGGTTTCTTGATTCTTCATTGTTGACATGGTATCTTCGCCGGTCATGGCCGCCGCCATTGATTGATGATTCCAATTATGTAACTTGGAGTTTTCAAATAAATCTTCTTTTGGAGGGAAATGGTATAGTTGGATTTGTTAATGGTATGGTTCCATGTCCTGACAAGTTTGAAGACTCGGATTTTGCGGATGATAATGTTAATGACACTAAGTCAATTTATGATGCTTATAAAATCTGGATGATTCATGATAAGGCCCTAATGATACTCATTGCTGCTACATTATCTCCTTCAGCATTATCATGCATAATTGGATGTCAGAGTTCCAAGGAAATGTGGAATAATCTTCGTGAAAGGTTTGCTAGCGTTACTAGAACTAGCATTGTTCAAATGAAGATAGATCTGCAGAATATTAAGAAAGGGCCTGAATCTATAGATAAATATCTTCAAAGAATTAAGGACTCTAGAGATCAATTGGCTGTTGTGGGAGTATCTATCTCAGATGAGGATATTGCTATAATTGCTCTAAGAGGCTTTCCATCAGAGTACAACACTATCAAAGCAGTGATTCGTGGTCGAGAAAACTTGATGTCTTTGAAAGAACTTCGATCACAATTGAAAGCTGAAGAATCCACTCTGGAGGAGGTTAATAAGCAAATTCCATTCATGGCAGCTATGAATGTTCAGGGTAATGGAAATGTATATGACCAAGGGTCATCATCTAGTACAACATTCACAACTAGAATGCATGGTTCAAGCAATACTTCTGGATTTCAACCCATGAATATGCCATGTTTGTCACCAATGTAGCCAGGGTTTTCACTAATGCAAATGCAAGGTTTTCAGAATCCAATGCCATATATGCCAACTATGTCTTCTGCACCCTTTGCATTTTCTTCACAGTATGCATCTGGCTCATTCAACAACTTTCAAGGCAACAATTTCAAGCCTAAGGGCAAGGGCAAGAAATTTTATTCTGGATCTCAGTCTTCTCAGAATACACAACCGTTTGGGAACAACAATTCACAAAGTTTTTCAAGTGGACAAACAAGCACTGGACAAGGATCCTTTTCAAATATCTCAAATTTATGATAGGATGGGTCACTCTGCCTTAAACTGTTTTCAGAATGGATGCCAAATTTGTCACAGGAAAGAGGGCACACTACTACCACCTGCTTGGACAGAAACAATTCTAATGCTTCACAGTTTCCATTAAATGGTTCTTCACAGTTTCATCAACCATTTGGTAGTTCAATTGTGTACCATGCTTTTGGCAATCCATTTCATACTCCTCAAGTCATGTCTCATGCTCCATATCAGGTTTCACAACCAATGGCTATGCAAGCAAGGACTAATGGGTCACCAAATGCACCTCAACAGGAGTATTGGTTGGTTGATTCAGGTGCTACCAATCACATGACTTCAGATATCACTAATCTCCAAGTTGTAGCTCCATATCTTTCTAATGAGACAGTTACTAGTGCTGGTGGTGAAGGTTTAAGTATTGCTCATATTGGCAAAACTTCAATTCCAACTAAATCTCATACATTTTCAACTCAACTCTGTCTTACATGTGCCTCAGTTGTCTCAAGATTTATTATCAATGTCTCAGTTGTGTAAGGATAATAAATATCGATGTATTATTGATGAATTCTCTATTTGTATACAGGACAAGGTCACAGGGAAAGTGTTATACCACGGACTAAGTAATAATGATGTTTACCCAATTCCAGTTTTCAAGTCTTCCAGATCACACGTCTCCTCACCGTCTGTTTTTCTTGGTCAAAATGTGTCATCTGAATTATGGCATTGTAGACTAGGGCATACTGCCAATCATATTACTACTGTGGCACTTAGGAACTCATCTATTTCTGTTTCATGTAATAAGGATTCAACAACTTGTATTGCTTGCTTGCAAGGCAAGTTTTCCAAATTACCATTCCATAGTGTTGCTTCAAAATCTGTTATTCCTTTTGAACTAATACATTAAGATGTATAGGGCCTTACTCCTGTTAGTTCCTTAGAAGGGTTTAGGTATTATGTGTCCTTTGTTGATGAGTGTACAAGGTATACTTGGATATTTCCAATCATGAATAAAGCTGCAGTTTTAAATATCTTTGCTCAGTTTCTTGCTTATGTTAACACTCAGTTTGCCACTTCTATTAAAACTTTCCAAAGTGATGGTGGAGGAGAATATGTCAGTATAGCTTTCAAAAACTTTCTAAGGGATAAAGGTATTGTTCATCAAATATCCTGCCCTTATACTCCTGAACAAAATGGGTTGGCAGAGCGAAAAAATAGGCATTTGTTAGAAACTACAATTACCCTTATTCAAAAAGTATCATTGTCTTCCTAGTTTTGGTTTCATGCTTGTGCTACTGCCTCATATCTAATCAATAGGATGCCAACACATGTTCTTCATATGAAATCACCCTTTGAACTTCTTTTTCATGCTTTACCTTGACTTGATCACTTAAAGGTCTTTGGTTGTGCTTGTTATCCTTCAATGAAACCTTATAGACATAATAAATTAGATCCCAAAACCACATAATGTATTTTTTTGGGGTATGCTTCACAATACAAAGGTTATATTTGTTTTTCCCTTAGCACACATAAACTCATTGTCTCTATACATGTTCTTTTTTATGAGCAAAGGTTGTAGTTTTTCTAGTTCTCATTCCCAGTTAATTAGTACCCCATTATCCTATGGTACAACTTTTGAATCTTCTGTGGTACATCCAAACACTTTTTTCACATCCTATAGTTGTTCCCATTCCTTTTCCACAAGTGTTTTCTTCTCCTACTTCTGGGAATGTCACATGTCTTGTTACTCAATCCAATCCTGCAACAACAAATAACACTAGTGACCTTGTCTTTCCTCAAGCATCGACTAATTCTCCATCAATTGAGCAGCCATCGAACTATACAGAGTTGAATCCAGATACAAGCACATCTCAGGTTGACAATCTTCAATCAATTCATGTTTCTAATCTTAACTGTCATCCAATGCAAACCAGATCCAAGTCTGGTATTGTGAAGAAAAACACAGCCTTCATAGTTCAAGTTTATATAGATCACATTCTTTTAAGGAACCACAAACTTTTCTTCTGCATCTAAGTCTCCTCAATAGCAGCATGCCATGCAAGAGGAAATGTCAGCCTTGATTCAATAGCACACATGGACACTTGTTCCTCTTATTCCAAATAAGAATCTGGTTGGGTGTAAGTGGATCTATATGATTAAAAAGAACTCTGATGGGTCTGTGGCAAGGTATAAAGCTAGATTGGTAGCTAAAGGGTTTTCTCAAGAGGCTGGTCTTGATTACTATGAGACATTTAGTCCAGTGGTTAAACCAACCACAGTTAGACTAGTTTTGTCTTTAGCTGCTACTAATGGTTGGAAACTCAAACAATTGGATGTCAAGAATGCCTTTCTACATGGCGTTCTTGAAAAAGAAGTATACATGTCTCAACCTCAAGGTTTTGTGGATGTTGACCACCCTGATTATGTTTGCAAACTACATCACTTTATTGTCTTAAACAAGCTCCTCGAGCTTGGAATGAGAGATTTACCAAGGTCTTATTTTCCTTGGGATTTAAGTCATCTTATGCAGATTCTTTTCTTTTTGTGAAACAAACTGGTAGTGATGTCATTGTGCTCTTACTTTATGTTGATGATATCATACTCACTGGGAGTAATGATGGTATGGTACAAACTGCAATATCTCAACTAACTCAAGAATTTGATATGAATGATCTGGGAATTCTGCATTTTTTTTTCTCTGGTTACAGATTCAATATGACACTCAAGGATTGTTTCTTCATCAAACAAAGTATATTCAGGAGCTCCTACAAAAAGCCAATATGGTTGACTGTAAGCCTTGTCATACCCCCTGCCATCCCAATCATAAACTCTTGAATCATCGCAGTCCTTCAGTAATAGATCCAAGTTATTACTGAAGTTTAGTTAGAACATTGCAGTACTTAACCTTCACCCGACCTGATATAGCATTTTCTGTTAATCAAGTATGCCAATTTATGCATCAACCTCTTGAATCTCACTTTGTTGCAGTTAAGAGAATCATGAGGTATCTCAAAGGTAATTCTAGTTTGGGTTTGTTTTTAGACCAGGTTCTATGTTTTTAAAAGCTTATACATATGCTGATTGGGCTGGTGATCCTAATGATAGGAGGTCTACCACTGACTTTGTTATTTTTCTAGGGTCTAACCAATATCTTGGAGTTCTAAAAAGTAGCATACTGTTAGTAGATCCTTTACTGAGGCTGAGTATAGAGCAATGGCCACTATAGCAGTTGAAGTAGTGTGGATACAACAACTTCTTCGAGATTTACATGTGCCCTGTTTTGATGCTCCCTTGCTACACTGTGATAACATCTCAGCCATGGTTCTTGCGACTAATCCAGTTCTTCATTCTAAAGCTAAGCATATTGAAATTGATTGTCATTTTGTTTGTGAATGAGTTCAACAAGGCACCATTCAACTACAGTTTGCTGCTTCTGCTGATCAGTATGCGAATATATTAACCAAAGGCTTGTGTTCTCCTCAGTTTAACTATTTTTGTTCCAATCTCATGCTTGGTTACTCTAAGCATGAGATTGAGGGGGGATGATAGGTTGTAACATGTGCTTAGTGTAAAACAGAATGGTTAGGATTATGACAAGTGTCATATTATGATTAGTTGAGGTAGAGTGTTAGTTACAAAAGTAAAGGATAGTATAAGGTATAAATACCATAAGGATGTATTTATGACGGTGTGAAGAAAGTAATAAGAGAAAGTGAAGTATTTCATATATTTGTTTAGAAGCTTTATCTCTATACATTTCTGGTTTCTTGATTCTTCATTGTTGACAAGTGAGATGCTGTATTGGGCTATGACAAAATCAACAACATGCTGATATTCAAATACTTGCAATCACATAAAACAGAACAATAAAAAAATTTGCAATGTTAAAGACCATTTTTTTTTCGGATAATGACGAAAATGGCTGTACTTTCTTGCTCACGAAATGTGCACAAAAAGCAGTTAGATCATTGTGGTAAAAATCTGTTTGCTTGTTTGTCATGCAAAGCATCCATAGTCGAATCCGTTCTTGTCACCACCACCACCATTTGCACAAGCCATATGTTGCAATCCCTTTATTTTGCTCAAATTGGTTGCTGCATGAATTAAAGAAAGCAGAAGTAAAGAAGGAAAAGAGAAAAAAAAAATTGGTTAGGTTTTGAGGTTCACATGAGCAAGGAGAAAAGATTGGCTTTGTTGAAGTCTCTGAGGCACACACATAGACTGTTGGTTTATTTGAATGATTTGGAGTCAGTTGTTGTCCTCCGTGACGATTGTTCGAGTGTTTGGACTGGTGACTACTCAAGTGACGTTGTGAAAGTTGGGTTTTTTGCTTGTTTGTTTAGGTTTGTTCGGAAGCTCGCTATTGGCATGGAAATCTTGCACTGGCATTAGAATCTTGCATTGGCACTGGCACTGAAATTTGGAATCTTGCACTTACACCGATGGAATTTCGTATTGAAATTGGCATTGGAAATTAGCATAACAAGCTTGCATCCACATCGATCGTTTGTTGGCAAACTCATGTCATGCACCACCATGAGTTTGATGCGGGGGAGGGGGTGGTGTTGGAAAATATTAGTATTTATGTTTATTTTAGTATTTGGGTTTTCCTTGTTAGTTTAGGAATTGGACCTAGCCCATCCGAGTTAGGATTTCTTAGGTTTAGTTCGCTATAAATATTGGTTGTAATTTAGTTTGAGAAACAAGTCATTTACAATGTAGCCTCTTGGTTTTTGTAACCGTTTCGACATTCTTATTTGTTTAATAATATTCCGTTGTAGTCTTATTTGTGGCACATTCCGTTGTAGTCTTATTTGTGGCACACTCTAATATTCAACTTTTATAATCACTTTCAGATTACAATTAGGGTTTGAAATAACCCTACTTACACGAAAGTTCAAAATTCAAAAAGTACAAACTGAAATCTACAAAGGTTACGCACAGCTTTAGTTACAAGAATAATTCGAAAGAGGTATTTGTCGTTTTCCCCCTGAACTTGTAAGAAGATGCCAATTTCCCCCTTGAACTTTAATTTTAGCCAATTACCCCCATGAACTTTTGTTATTAGCCAATTTACCCCCTGATGTTAGATTTGAGAATTTTCCATCCAATTTTCCATCCAACTCGGTCACATGCTTGGCACATGCCAAATTTTTAAGGGTAAAAAAGTAATTTTATCCCTAATGTAGACATTCTATCTTTATTCTTCTTCTCTTCCACTAGTTCACTCCATACAATTTTGTCTAAATTAGCTAAAGAAATCTAATTAGCAACTGAAAAATATTGGCTCAGTGCCCAGTTTACCAAAATGAAATTAATGATTCTTATTTCGAGTGCTTTAATAAAGCTAACAACATCCACAAAAAATATGCAACAGACTTAACAGCCTTAACAGCCTTGCACCTAGCATCCACAAAAAATATGCAACATACTTAACAGCATCCACAAAAAATCTGCTGCATAATCCTATTAAAAGATCAACTTAATCTCAACACCAAAGGTTTTCATTAATAGGACGAAATGCCTTCCAACACATTATAGTTATACTCTCCATGGTCTTGGTTTTTTGGCAACACGTTAGGGTTGTGATGCCATTTCATTAGCCTTTCTTGTGACTTGATTCACACGACCGCCTCGGTACACCTATTTGAACTCAACACGAAAGCAACAAAAATGTTAGCAAACCCAAAACAACAAAAATTAATGTATAACAAATATTTTTGTTTTTTAATAAAAAAAGACAAATTCTTGTTATTACATGTAGTTTAGAAGTTCCTTGTGGCCTAGTTTGAGATGGAGCGGCCCCCGAGTGATGATGTGCACCAGTTTCCTACATCAAAACCATTTATACTTAGTTATTTATGTTCACCTAGCGACTAGATAAGTGATATAACAAAACTCAAAATAAATACAATCCTTGTTGATCAAATTACCTCTTTTGTGGGCACAAAACCTTGTTGTGATTGTAGTAGCCTTTGTGGACATCTTCTTTTGTTATGTCCTTCCTCTCCACAGGTTTGGCAATGCATTACAACATCATATTTCCTTAGCTTTGTTGGCCCTTTCTTTATCTCGTCTGGTGCTTTTGTTCTTTTGTCTTTAGGTCATCCAGGTTGCTTGTGGTAAAAAGGGGGTTTAATAGGCCTAAGGTCAGTTCTCTTCCACTGTTCTTTTCCAGGCATAGGAGTAATATACCCTTCATAACACCTATCATAAGCTGGCCTTTTGTAAAGTGAGTGTACAAACACTTGTGGACTAGCCTCCTTCCTAGCAATTGTGGATATAACATGAGGACAAGGAATGCCACATAGCTGCCACTTCTTACAAGAACAAGTGTGCCTTTCCAAATCTACTACAAACATACTACCAACCAAAGTATGCACTTGATATTGACCATTCCCCAAATAATTGGCAAAACAATTGAAACCATCCATATGATTTTTTCAACAATTTTCAAAATTCTAGGTCTAACCTGTTGGGTCCACTTAGCTTCTCTTAGCCTAGCCATTCTCAACATCAAACATTTTTGAATCCTTTGTAACATCGTAATAATCGGTTTATCTCTTGCATCTAAAATTGCAGAATTAAATGACTCACACATGTTATTCAATAACAAATCACTTTACCGATGTTCTGAAATGAGATCTGCTCCAATGGCAAGGTGGCTTATCAGCTAGCCATTTCACTACCTTATCAGATTGATTATTCATCACCTCAATTTTAGCTTCATAAGTAGGTACAGTAGTTGCCCTTGCTGCTGCCCACAATCTCTGTTTTAAGGCAAGTCCGGTGTGACTTGCACTTCTAAAATTATTATGCAAATGTCTAACACAATGTCTGTGTTCTGCAGTAGGCATCAGACTTTGTATAGCATCGCCTAGCCCTTTTTGTTTGTCAGTGATGAAGGTCCAAGCATTTCCATTCTCAATTCCCACATCCTTGAAAAAGATCTCCAAAAACCAAGTCCAAGTCTCCCTATTTTCTACCTCTACAACAGCAAATGATATTGGAAACATGCCATTATTGGCATCAACACCAACAACACTTAGGATCTGACCAGGATGGGGTCCCTTAATATGACACCCATCAAAACCCATTATAGACCTACACCCTTCTTGAAAGCCTTTCTTCAATGCAGCAAAGCATATGTACAACCTTTTAAAAACAGGGTTTTCACCTTGGAAATCTGTTTTTACTTTGATAGTACTCCCAGGATTTCTCACTTTCAACTCTTCCAGGTAATCCCAAAGCTTGGCATATTGCTCATCTATACTACCTTCTGTCACTTTTTTTGCAATTCTCTTTGCTTTGTAAACTTGGTTTTTTGTTATGTCAATACCATAATGCTTTCTCACAAGTTCCATGAAACCAGTCACACTCATATTGGGTTTTGATCTAAGCTTCTCATCAAACCGATTAGCTAACCATGAGGAGGTGGCAAATTTAGAATGCTCATCCCTTACACAAATGTGTTTAGGATTATAAGTTTTAATTCTAATTGTCGGTCCCTTCCCCATAAAAGAGGCATACAATTTCCATTGACAAGGTATTGCAGCTTTTCCTGCACACTTGATCAGTAATCTGTTGGAATCATTCACTGCCTAATCTAACGGTCGACAAACAGACACACCATAAGCCCCTATTGCCTCCCTGCATTGTTTCATGTTTGGAAATTCCAACCTTAGATGAAGAGTGAGATTAATTTTATCTGTCTCTCTCCTATATTGAGGTAGCTTAGGTGTTTTGAGTCTTCTTCTAACCCTCACATTCATCATCCACATTAAACCCCTCAAACTGAACATCCACATCAACAAAGGAAGCTGCACACGGATCACTCCCAAGATTGTTTATGATTTTCCTTAAGTCAATCAAGTATAACAAATGCAGCCTAACTTGAGGCGATATGAGTGAAACCCACTGAAACACATCTGCATCGCATTCAATTCGTAAAAAACCCTTTATTTGGTACCAATAGTAAAAACCTGTAGTCTCTTTATTATACCTAAGCACTGTAGCAGCCTCATACATATCAAGCATGAACATATAATCTTTAGTATAATTGTCAACCCACTGTACAATACCACCCACATACTAACCAGCTTTAAAGTGACCACCATGGTGTATTTCAAGTGTGAATAGGTCATGATTACCTACAACAAATACATCACAATATAATCAGGATCACCAAACAACACTTACTAACCAAATATCCACCAATATACAACATTTACTAACCTAACTTGCTAATTATTTAAAGAAAGTCAATAAAAGCAACAACTAAACATATTATATGTGCAAAGTTGATAGTATACAGGAAGTGCCAACAATGCTACACCAAAAAGATTATACCAGCAAAGACCTGCAACGTTGCTTGTTTGTTAGATCCCTCATCTCTAAAGCTTGAAGCAAGAGGGAATAATTTGCTTGGTTTGTTATCCAAGTAGCAAACAGCTTGCTAAATATTTTGGGCCACAATCTATATGCAAGCTTCCAGCAAAAGAAAATAATTTACTAATTATTGGCTTTGCCTGTTATACAAACAAGCCTATTTATTTCGGGCACAATCTATGGAAGCAAGCATGAATCAAAAGAGTTCATTAACAAACAAACAAAAAAATAAAATACTGTATAGCAAATCAAAAGACCATAATACAGTAAACAAATTTGAGATTATGTAGCTTAGAGAAGGTAAATTAAGAGACTCAGCAAATGGTGTTTCTTGCTAAATACGAGGATACCTTGACTCAACAGCACAAGTTAGATCCACATCAGGGCCATGCTCTCTCCCATCCCCTTCTTGAAAAATTTAAAAGGTTGAATGGCGTGTGGGTGTGGCTGGGTTGGGATTAAGGTGGGAGGGTGTGGGACGCAGAACTGAATAAAACAATCAAGGGACCCCATATACACACACGACTGGAAAAATAGCACACAAAGCAAACCTTTCACATATTAAACAAACTGAAAAAGAAAAAGTGAAGACTTACTGTATCTTGGAGGATGCCCACCATCCCTGACCATGATACTCATCGTTCTCAACTTCAAAACTTAAAATACCTTCAATATTTGGTAGCAATTTGTTGATTTCACCGTCTATTCTCCATATCTTTTCTCAGACTGTAACCCTAGAATGCCCAATTCTTTGTGGCTCGCCTTCCCTTGCTTCTCCATATACCCAACAACGATTAGGTTTGGTTGTGGTGTATGATTACCATTTTGTCCTCACACCATTAGCATGTGCAGAGCACGCGATCGAATTGGATGGTAAATTCTAAAATATAACGGTAGGGGGTAAATTGGTGATTTACACAAGTTTATGGGGGTAATTGGCTAAAATTAAAGTTCAGGGGGGAAATTGACTATTTCTTACAAGTTTAGGGGGTAAATCAGCGAATACCCCTAATTCGAAATGAAATCCTACAAACAAGGAGATAAGACTTCTAAGCACAGCATAACTCCTCAAGAGCCACCAACTGTTGACTTCGTCTAACAAGAGTATCAGTTCAGTTGGCATCTATATTTAACTGCACAATCATCATATCCAAAACTTTAGCAAACTCAGAAGAACAAAACAAGCATTCTAAAACCTATTATATATTTTTGGAGCTTTCAATAAAACCAAGAACAAAACACATTTTATATGGAGAGAACTTGGCAGGTGAACTGCAGTCCATTCATGAGAGAGAGAGAGCTCAATTAATCACTAAATAATCAGTTACTAATTGTTTTTATTTTTTATTTTTGGATAATTAAAGAGGATGGCTGGGGTAATGATGGGAGGAGCACAATGCATGAGCTAATATAGCGTGCAAAGTGGTAACTAACATTGCTAAAGTTTTTCATTCGTTTTGGTTTGGTATATGTATTTGCTCATGTTTCAACTACTCCCAAATGCTTTAAACTAAAAACGGAAATCATATATTCGTGAACATTTCATTCAAATAGTTTCGCAAAACAAATGCGAGCTAGCTCTGTTTGTCTACGAAGATACGAAATTGAGCCTAATTAAGGATATGAAGCCCTTCATGCACTCCTAGTGGCCAAATAATTCACAAAAACTATGAGCTATAAAATCGCAGTTTATAGTCATTTTTGTAAAGTTTCATAAAAACTATTACAAAATCATCATAAAACTTAGTTCGTGTCATTTTTGCCGGAATATAAGTTTGTTAGAAAAAAAAATCATCCAGGACATTGCAGAAAAGTTCTAGCTCTTGAAGGGCCTTGCTAGTAGTTTTAGTTTATTTTTCTCTTTTCCAGCCTAAAGTTTAAATAAAAATAATTATTGGACTCAACTAAATGGAAGACCCCTTCCAAATGGCTCATAAAGGTCGTTGTTTACAAAAATTATGAGCTACAACTCGCTGTTTTTAATCTATTTTGCTAAAAACTTTTTTGTGTCTTGTGGGACTCAATAAATGATAAAATTGAAAAAGATCTTTCTAAATGGCAACAATCGCTTTGTGCACAAAAAATATGAGGTATAATTCACGCTTTTAGATTGATTTTCGAAGATCTTTAACTACACTAAAACCTAATTTTTATGATATTTTTTCTAAGTCATAAGTTTGTTAAAATTTATTGGTATTCTAGCCCGCACCAGTGTTTTAATTATTAGTTATTTTTTCAACTTGAAAATCGAACAAAAAATACTTATGGAACTCAACAAATAGTAAGACCATCTCTAAAAGCGTCAAAAATGCCACATAGACATATAACGGTAACAAATGACATACAATTTACTTCAACTGAGATGTCAAATATGACATGAAAAAGAAGGCTAAACTGACATAGACAAAGAAATGTCAAATTTGAAGCTGTCTTCAAATTTGATTTTTGCTATTTCCAAAGGCATTTCACTAGCCTTACCTTAAATACTAGCATATTTAAGTATTATTTTATTATTTTTAAACTAGCAACAACCCAACTTTTATTATTTTGTTAAAATAAAAAACATAAATGAAGCAATAAAATTTGGCATACCAGGTGGAAGGAAAATATTGACAATATGTCAAATTGGCAAGTCAATTTGACATCTCCTTTGGAGATGCTCTAAGTTCACTTCCAAATGGCTTATAAAAAATTTCTTCTACGCACGCAAAAATTCTTACAAAAACTCAGCAATTGCATTGTTCATAAAACTTGTTAAATTTCGAGTTTGATTTTCATGTTTTTTTTTGTGAATAAATAGTAAATTTGCGAAGTTCTTTGGGTTTACGTTTTACACTTATGAGACTCAGTAAATCAAATAAAATCACTAAAAAAACTTAACCAAACATGCATATGAGCTTCAATCAATGATGAAATTGTTTCAACGGCTTATAACATTTTACTTCGCATTAAAATATCATGTGAAAACTCAACAATTGCATTTCTTAAAAAACTCTTGAGCTATAACTCATGATTTTCAATCAGTTTTCGAAGTTCGACTAAAACTATTATATTCTTGTCGCACTAAGAATTTAGTAAAATAAGCTTATGAGACTAAATAAATAGTATGACGCTTCAAAGTAGATTCTTATACTATAATTTACTACACGCATAAATATCTTGCGAAAACTTAACAACCAATAAAAAGTCAAACAACAACAATATGAAGTATTAAAAAGGGATAGTTTAGTTGCGGTCCTTGGTTCCTAACTGTTATAAACTCAAACCTTATACATTTTATGTGACAGCCCGTCCCAGATTATTTTTTCGGTGGTGTGAAAAGACTAAAGTACCCTTGAACGTTTGTGGTGTTGTGTGGTTTAGGTTTTGGTTGTGGACCAATTAAAATTTTTCCTAAGTGTTTGGACCCAATTAGAAAAGAGATTTTTGTTTGTTTTGATTGGTAGCCCAAACTGGACCACACACACACACACCCAAACTCCTGTTGACCTTTCTCTCTCATTCCCTCTCGGTTTTTCTCCATTCTCCGTACGACCATACAGACAACTCCTACCCTAGCTATCCATTCACGGATCGGGGTTTTGGAAGTTGTTTTCTTGCTCCTTGCAACCTTAGGAGTTGATCTTTAGCATTGGTTGGACGTGAATACCTCATTTTCTCGAGAACCCAGTTTTGGGTTATTGTTCATGCAGTCGTGATCGTGGAAGTTTCAGTGAATTTTAAGGTTCTAGGAAGCTTTAGGACGTCTTCACAAAGCTCGGAGAAGAAAATTAGAGTGTTTTGGACGTCAGGAAGTCCCAGTTTGCGAGTTTCAAATTTTGGTCGGATTATCGAGGTTTCTCCGGTGAGATTTCGTGGGTTTCAAAGCTTGAAAGTGAAACCGGAGATCGTAGCGGCGCCGACGACGGTTTCCGGTGAACCAAGGAAGACGAAGAGGAATATTCTGTTAAGTTTGATGGAATATTCTAACGGCGTCAGGTAACGCCATTAATTTCTGTTAAGGTTTTAGCGGAATATTCCTAACGGCAGTTAAGTTTCCTTCAGGGTTGGCCGAGCGTGGGGGCGCGTCTGGCCGTGCCTTAGCCGGTGCGTGGGTGGTTGGAAATTTTTTTCTAACAATATGGGGATGTTCGTGGTGTTGAGTAGATCACGTTGGTATATTCAAACACCCCATTTGAGCATTGTATGAGAAGTTATTTCCTAGTTTTGTGTATGTGCTTTAAATAATGTTTATTTAGTTATTTCGCATATAGGTGTGACCTATCCGGAGGACGAGCACCATCAATCGAGGCTCGGGGGCTACAACCCTTCGACATATCAGTGAGTGGGCTTTTGGTTTTCCGTATATAGCTATATACTTGAGATTTTTCCCAGAAATAAAATTGAATGATTATACATTTTGAAATGCCATACAAAGTATCTGCCTATTTTATTTATGCATTAGTAGTTGCATATATTTATGATTGGTGTTACGGACGCACATGTAAGTTTATAAATTAAAGATACGAGATTACTTCAGTTATGCGAAATATGATGTGATGTATTGAGAGCTCATAAACCTGCACCCCAGTGTTTAGTGCTCCCGCCCAGAGTTAGGGCACAGTCCTTCACGTGATGTTCATCTCCCGCACCATATGTTCACCTTGGATCCAAGTTAGGTGCACAGGCTTCTTGTATAGACCACTTTAGGTGGTTCCAACTCGTAGGTGACCCGCGATCATTCGCACAGCCTTCACGTGATCGTAACACTAGAGCATATTTATTTTACACCTAGTCTTGTCGTACAGACCACTTTAGGTGGTTCTGACTTGTGTGCAGGATTTGATATGGTTGAGATTGGTTATGAGCTATATACTCAGCCGTGCAGATAACGTTAGGTGAATTCGGCTGATATGATATCTGGCATTGATATATTTAACTGAATTACTTATGGCATTTCATTGAGATACTTTGGCATGGTATATTTCTATGGATTTTCATCCTGAGCATGATTTCTAATATAGTATATATTATATTCTCTGGGAAATTATACAGGTTTGACGGCGAGGGGTTAGAACTTTTGAGAAATGAAATGATTTTGAAAAGCTTTGTTTTTGCCCACTCACACTTTCTGTTTTGCGCCCCTCCAAGTTTTAGGTAGAAGTGTTTTGGTGGTTCTCGGGGATTTCGACGGTGGTTCTGACAGAACATCATAAATGTAGGATCACCCTTGGGTGTTGTATAATTAGTACCTGTCTAGTTGGACTGCACTTAGGCTACTTATGCTCTGATTGTGTATTTCACACTTAATCTCGCACTTGCACCTTATCTTAATTAGTACTGCTAATAGTTGGATTTTTTATTTACTCATATTTCTCTATATCATTATTGCTTCCGCACTGTGCACATGGTTACGTCACTCTCATGTGACGGCTAACATGTCTTGATTTAGGTCGGGGTGTGTCATTTTAAGTTTTTAATTGAAGTCCCTCCCCTACCACATAAATGACATAATAATAAAAAAGATTCAATAATACCAATAAAAACTCAACCTTTTTTGTTTGCTTTCATTTACACTACCAATTCAATTATTCAAAATTGCTTATGGGTGCATTCTAGGTATAAAAAAAAGGGATTTTATTTTATTTTTATAAAATATGGGTACATTTATATAGGCTACACTTTACAATTAAAAAATTGGTACATTGGGTACATATTACATAAAAAAAATTGATACATTTTATACAAAAAAAGGCACGTTTTATATAGCAAAAAATGGGTACATTTTATGTAAAAAACAATGGTACATTCTAGACTAAAAAAATAAATAGATTTTACATTAAAAAATGGGTACATTTTACATAAAAATGGTACTTACAAAAAAAAAGATACATTTTGCATATAATAAAGTGGTACATTTGTAACGGAAAATGGGTACATTATAAATAAATTATGAATACAAATAAAAGGTTAAAAAAAATTATGAATACAAATAAAAATTTAAAAAATAAGGGACAAAAAGAAATTAATATATGGGTACAAATTAAAATTTAAAAGATAATCGGTACAATTTAAAAAAGGTTGCAAATTAAAAATGGGTACAAACTACAAATAGAAATATATGATAAAAAGTTTAGCCATAAATATAAATATACTAAATGTAATGTTTCTAACACTAAATAAATGACGTTAATTAAAACCCAAGGACCCTAATAAAAATTTGAAAATAAATAAGGTTTTAATCAATGAAATATAGAAAATAGGGATGAAAATTGAATTTCTCCTATTAAAAATCACCATTATATATTTAAGCTCATACTACGTCATTATTATTGTAGATCAAAGGGAAAGAAACCGAATGGGCCTAGTCCAATGTTACACATTAGTTAGTAGATTTAGACTGTGATCAACTAGTTATATGTGGAGATGGTGTTGTTGGTAACTTGGTAATGATTATGCTGATGGTCATGATAAAAGTTAACTGTGGTTGCACAATGCTTAAGCCTTCATCTCAGGTCACACCTTTTAATGGATTTTATTGACAGATTCCGAGTTATCTCCAGCATAGAGTCCCTAAATAATCAGCTTGAACTATTTCACTGTCATTTTTCTGCATAAACATTATATTTTTATTAATAAAAATATAATAAGATGCTTTATTAATTTAATTTAGATAATGTTAATTACCTGTACTTTAAAGACATTTGAGACAAGGTTTTTCAAGCTAGTCACATTTACATAACTTACTTCCAAGCCTAAATTATCCAATGCATCCATCAATCTCACAAACCCTCCTGGCTTATGCTCACATATTAGTCACAGAAAATTTATTCCCATCTAACCGAGTTACTTCCAGTTGTGACCGCATTGAATTTCACAGTTTTTTTTATTACCTAATTAAGAGAGCACTCCCGATATACGTCCAAATTTAAAAGAATATAAGATTTTAATTAAGTGTGTACCTCCATCCTTTTATTTACTGGTTTGTTTGAAATGAAAGTTTCAGTTTGACTCAAAACTTCCATAAATTTGATCGTGGTTTATAATTATAGCTTCCATACTTGTTTATTTGTGATGGTCACGATTATGGTAATTGTAATGACAACACTGATATGCTTAATGGTGGTTGTGATTGTGGTGGTGGTAGTTGTGGCAACAATGTACAGTGGCAAAGGTGGTGGTGATCTAAGGTTAGTGGTTGTATAATGGCAGGTGGTGGGAGCCACTTTATTCTCTAAGGAAAAAATGTGTGTAGGAGGATAAATAATGTTAATTTTAAAATTTAATGAGAGTACTATAGGAATTAAAAATATCCATTTTCTACTAAATTGTGAGCTCTGTATGTGTGTGTCTTGCGAAGTTCTAAATCACAAAATATTTTCGTGTTATTTTCGAAAAGTTCTAACTTATTTTTGCTATATGTTCGAACTCCAACTCCACCAATAGAAGAAAAATCAACAACATAAAGGTCGTACCTAGTGCACAAGGCTCCCGCTTTACGGAGGGTCTGGGAGAGGTGAATGTCGGCTAGCCTTACCCCCATTTATGGAGAGGCTGCTCCCAAGTCTCGAACCCGAGACCTACCACTTATGGACGAAGGCACTTGCCATCACACCAAGTGCGACCTTTAAAAATCAACAACATGAAGCATTAAAATCACCGTTATAATTAAGTTCGTACTACATGAAGTGAAAGAAACCGAATACGCGCCTAATTAATTCATACATGAATTGAGTAGATAATAATCAACTAATTAGAAAGATGTTGTAAGTGGTACTACGAAGTATGGTAATTGTAGAGGTGGTGCATGTTATTGCCTTATTGATAATGATCTTGATAGAAGTGATCCAGTGATGTCCCATTCCATAATGCTTTAGCCATCGTCTCAGGCCACCCTTATGATGGATTCCATTGACAGTTTCCGAGTTATCTCCAGCAAAGAGTCCTTAATTAACGTGATCAGCTTGAACGATTTTACTGGTGCTGTCATTTTTCTGCATAATCAAACATGTAGTTATTAGTTTATGAATAAAAATATAATAAAATGCTTTATTAATTTAATTTAGATAATGTTAATTACCTAAGACAGCAATCCAAATATACATACAAATTTAAAAGAACGTAAGATTTTAATTAAGTCTGTACCTCCATCTTTTCATTTACTGGTTTGTTTGCAATGATAGTTTCAATTTGACTCAGAATATCTGATTGTAAATTGCCATCGTTTCCACATACATTACTAGTTTCCTTTGCTGATCCTTCATTATTTGAGTTACGTTCAAGCTCTTCTTGAAGTTCTTTTACTTGCCTCACCAATTTGGACACGTACACAATCGTGTCCCCGATGATTGAAGCCCTGTCCTTCTAAGAATCAAGATGATTAGACATTCCATTAGAGTTCTGTTAAAGATTGTGTTCACATTAGCTGACTACAAGATGTGACAGTGTACTAATTAATCACATTTTTACTACATATGGTCAACTATTCATTAACATAGAAACTGTCAGCGCAATTTCCCATTATACTGTATTATTATTGTCTATTGAAAATGCTAATAATACTAATCTGAAAATTAAAATAAAAAATTAATCCCATTGATCATCACCCCAGTATTGTTAGGAACCAAAGTGCGAAGGAAATGGAGTCTGTGGCAAAGCTTATTCCTTCTCTCCATTTCAGCTTCAAAGTTTTTTGATTGAAGCCCTATCCCATTCCTACAGCAACAACAATCAGTTCATCAATAAACGTTATAAATAGGGGGAAAAAAAGTCACTGGGGAAAGGAAGAAATTGAGAGAGTAGCTAATCATAACCTTTGGTCTTCACTTTCCAGGAGGATGTTCATGCCACCTGCAAATAATTGATAAAAACCGAACCACAAAAATGGAAAAAATTAGTTTCAAATTGCTAAATCTTACGGAGTTACTAGAGACATAACAAGAACTGAGAAAAATAAAAATGGCTATACCTCTTTTGCATGGACATTTCAGTAAGAAAAACGAGATGAGAATGAAAGAAGAAACCAAAGAGAGGAAGCAGATAAAGCAAAGGTAGACATCCATAACTTTAGTCAATTAATTAATCAAATCAAGTAAAACAACCGGAGGCTCTTGCATTTCACAAAGGTTTCTTTTATATGGAATGAGTTTGGTAGGTGAACTGCAGGCCATGCATGAGTGTAGCGTGAGAGAGAACTGAATAAAAAACCTAAACAAACTAATTAATTACTTTTTGTGTTTCTTTTTTTTCGTCTTTTTGGGTAATTAAAGAGGATGGCTTGGTAAATATGGGAGGAGCATATTGCATGAATGAGCTAATATAGCGTGCGAAGTGCTAAAAAGGCTTTTCATTCATTTTGGTTTGGTATATGCATTTGCTCATGTTTCAACTACTCCAAAAGACTAAAACCTAAATTAGAAGGGAAATTGGTTATGTATGAGAGAACGTCACTAACTAATAATTGATTATTCTTTTATTTTGTCTACTTTTTTACTTTGTTTCCTTTTGCCCCCCAATTCCTAAATATGTTGATACTTTCCGTTAGCTGTGGCAATACAATCCGACTCGAAAGCCACCACGAAGAAACGAATTTGGGTGGGCGATAATCGTATTTTTGTTACAATTGCGTTATGCTCGGATTAGATCTAAACATTTTCATGTCCACACAAGACAACCCGTGAACACAAATTGCCGACTTTTGGATTTGGTTGAGTTCAAACCAATGTCGCTCAGAGAAATCAGAAGTGATACAGATATGGTATCTTCGACATCAGATGCCAACTCATTGCCAAAACAGAATAATCGCATCAAGTCACTTCTCAGTCAAAGTTTGTTAATCACATGCCATGTACTTGTAAAATTGTTACCGAAGTTTGTTAATCACATATCATCTTCCTGTAGAACTGTTATTGACTACTTCAGATAGTTAGTTAGTGATTAATTGTATTCTGTTTATTGAAATATAGTCTAGGTCATTTTTTTCCTAAATGTGGAATTCAAACTTTTAACATCCCTTCATATGCCAGTTAATTTTCAAACTTAACACGTGATCATATCTTTACAAATACACGCAAAGTCTTTTTTTCAACGTGGAATCCCAACAGTGTGTTCAAGGGTTTGGTTTTGAGAATAAGGGCCTAATGAAGCTCATCATAATAAATAGTCTATAGGCTCTTAGTTATTGGGTGAAAAAGGAGGATATTATAAAACATACCAAAAGAAAAGGGCATAGGGTTAATCAATCTAGGGTTAAGTCCTAGAAACAAGAACTACGGACGATGTTTCTAGAAAAAAAAACTCCTTGAAACACCGTTTTGGAAATACTTTAGACACTGAAAACATTGCAGTTGCTTAATACTTTAAACACTTGAAATTTTTTTTCTAGGAACGATGTTTTTCCTTCAAAGCAGTGTTTTAACAATATTAGAAACGAAGTATTTTTGACAAGAGAAGACTCTCGAATTATATTTGATACATGATGATCTGAATAGAACTTATTTGGTGTTTAAATATTCTTACCAAATCGAAGCTTCCAAATAAAGGGGGAAATAGAAAATTATAAAAATTGTCTCAACTCTTCAAACGTATTTTTGATCTAGTAAACATCAGTATTTGGCCCAAAAGACCCATAAATAATCGCATAACATTACCGAATCATGTTCGAAACAGCACAGTACAACTTCATAATTGTCAAAAACTATTTCTTTGGATAACGCCTGTCGGGGATGTCTATAATCCCGCTAGTTATTCTGTAAGATTTATATAGCCAAGATCAAGATTTAAGCCACAGTAAACACAACCAAGAAAGCACAAAGTCTTTTCATATGAACTACTGCATTCACACTAACCTGATGAACCTCCGTTGGAAAACGCCATGGCTGCAACAGTCCAAACTCTGTATGTTGCAACTCTTCTTCTCTCTGGCAGAACTCTTAATGCTCTAACTAAGAATAGGGATTAGTTCTTGATTGAGCGTATGCCTGTGAGAGCAGAGATTACAGCATATATATATATATATATATACATATACCTCTCCTAATCCAATGAGGATTTCCTATTACAATCCACTTAGGAAACAACTCATGTTTCCTAATCTATATCAGTTCATCTCCATGATAGATTCCTCTATCAACAAGAACTCACATTCATCTTCCTATAAGGCTTTCTTATACTAATCGGTCCAAATAGCTAATGCCAGTTCACCGAATACTCATGTTCATATTCTTACATTCTCCCACTTGAACATGAGACGTAGAACAAGCACAACCTTCACCAATTATAAGAAGTGATCACATAGCCTTATTCAAGATTTTATCATCATGACCAATGTCCCTTTGCATTTCAAAAAACAGAGGAATCTCAGGCTACAACTAAAAGCAGCATTGATTCAAGATTCACATGTATCCAATCCGCAAATATGACTCATGATCAACACAAAAACCAGTCCAGAAAATGCTCCCACTTTTCAAAAGATCATAACATATATTAATCTTCAATGAAAAACAACATTTCAATGATTGAATAAAATTCATGAACTATATAATCTTTTAAAACAAACAAAATTGTTTCTTAAAATATCATATGAATCTAACAAGTCCATCATCAAAACCATAATACTCCAAACCGAAGTATCAAGCCTTGAGATAAAGACACTTATTAAAAGTACAAAACAAACTAACAAACTAAACATAACTAAGTAAACCAGCTCAGACCAAAACTATAATCACAGTCCCAAAAGTGTGTTACTCACATGATTGCAATCTTCCAGTTTTCCGAAAAAGCCCAATTACTCCCACTGATCTAGACTCTCCAATACTCCCATCCGAGATACATGTTTTTGAAACTCTTTAACATGCAGCGCTTTAGTCAAAGGATCTGCAATCATCAAAACAATGCTAATATGCTGAACTTCAATCATCCCCTTCTTTACTTCCTCTCTTACTTTAAGAAATTTTACATCCATTAACCTTGAGGCAGAAGTTCTTCTGTTATTTTTTGGCAAAGAACACAACAGAGTTGTTATCACAAAACATCCTTACTGGTTTCTGAACCGATTTTACAACTTTTAAATCTGTCAGAAAGTTCTTCAACCACACAGCTTGTTTCATTCCTTCAAAATAGGCTACAAACTCAGCCTCCATAGTGGATGTAGCTATCACAGTTTGCTTAGCACTCTTCCAAGAAACTGCACCACCATTTAACATGAAAATATAACATCCGGTTGACTTTCTATCATCTACATCACCAGTCAAATCTGAGTAAATGTATCCTTCAAGTTCCAAAGATTCACCCTTACCAAAAACCAACATAAAATTCTTGGTTCTTTGTAAATATCTCAGAACATTTTTGGTAGATATCCAATGTGCTTCTCCTGGATTTGCTTGAAACCTTCCCAGCATTCCTACTATAAAAGCAATGTCTGGGCGTGTACATATGGTGGCATACATAAGGCTCCCTACCAGTGAAGCATAAGGCTTAGATTGCATCTTCTTAATTTCCAAATCAGTTTTCGGACACTGATTCTTTGAGAATTTATCCCCCTTGTTAACTGGAACTTAGCCACAGTTACAGTTTTCCATATTAAACCGGTGTAATACTCTATCAATGTAACCCTTCTGAGACAAACCAAGCTTTTTTTTTTCTGTCTATCTCGGACGATATCAATCCCTAACACATAATGTGCTTCCCCCAAGTCCTTCATGTCAAATTTTTCACTTAGCATCCTTTTGGTAACATGTAACAGTTGGAGACAAGAACTAGCTAGAAGAATGTCATCTACATAGAGCACTAAAAAGATAAACTGTGAACCAAAATATTTAGTGTAAATGCAATCATCCAACTTGTTTTCTTCGAACCCCAGTGAAGACACAATCTGATCAAACTTCAAATACCATTGTCTAGAGGCCTGTTTTAACCCATATATCGACTTATTGAGTTTACAAACCATATTCTCCTTCCCCTTTTCAACAAATCTAGTTGGCTGCTTCATGTAAATGTTCTCTTCCAAATCTCCATTGAGAAAAGCCGTTTTCACATCCATTTGATGCAACTCCAAGTCAAAATATGCAACCAAAGCCATGACAACTCGCATAGTATCTTTAGAAGATATTGGAGAAAATGTGTCATTATAATCAATCCCTTCTCTTTGTGTAAAACCCTTTGCTACTAACCAGATCTATATCTTTCAATACGACCAAGAGGATCTCTTTTAGTTTTATACACCCACTTGCAACCTATAGGCTTGATCTCAGAATTAGACTCCACAAATGTCCAAACTTTGTTCTTGTACATCGAATCTAACTCATCCTTCATTGCATTTTGACATAGAACTGATTGAGAACTTTCAATGGCCTGAGTGTATGAGAGAGGGTCATCAATATCCCTAATGTCGAAATTAGTTTCTTGTAAATAAACATAGTCACTTACTGCTGTCGACTTCTTTATTCTAGCTGACTTCCTGGGCTCAAAAGGTGATACATCTTCAATGGCTGCTGTATGTTGTGATTTAGTGATGATATCATAATTTATTGTGACTGAATCTGTCTCCATAGTGTTTTCAGTGCCCGAACCCAATTCACCACTAGAAGGCAATTCTTCATTCAAGTTTTCTACGGCAAGTGACTTTGTTGAAGGAAATAACAAAAATTGATTATTACCTGTTTGTGTAGTATTACCAGAATCTTGATCCATTTCTTCAAAAACAAAAATTTCCCTTGATAGATCTGAAACATCTTCATCTTCTAAGAAAACTGCATTATGTGTTTCTTGTATCCGAGTGTGACCTTGAGGAATATAGAACATGTATCCTTTTGATTTCTTTGGATATCCTATGAAGTAACATGACTGAGTCCTTGAATCCAGCTTTCTTTCAGTAGGATTATAAAACCTAGCTTCTGATTTACAGCCCTAAACATGGAAATAAGTGAAGTTAGGAACTCTCCCATGCCACAACTCAAAAGGTGTTGAAGAATTGCCTTGCTTGGAACTCTATTCAAAATATAATTGGCTGTCTTCAAGGCTTCTCCCCATAAGAAACCAGGCAACTTGGACCTTGACATCATGCTTCTCACCATACCAATAAGAGTTCTATCCCTCATTTCCGAGACTTCATTTTGTTGAGGTGTCCTAGGTGTTGTATACTGAGCTACAATGCCATTTTGCTCTAAGCAAAGTGCAAATGGTCCATTTTGTTATCCTGATTCAATGTACCTGCCAAA